TGTCTTGTCGTCAGAGGGGCATAGCCACCAGGAGCTGATGCCACGCTTCTTCAATGCAGCTTAATATGTTCCAGGAATGAGCTGTGTTCCTCTTCAAAGGCAAGGCAGACCAGCACCATCTCAAAATCACCGCCACCGTGAGACAAACACCGTTGCTGGAACTGGTGGAAAGTGTCCATCGACGACCCATCCTTGCAGAGGTATATTCCCACAACTTTCCGGCTCAACTCTGTCACAAATATACCCACTCCTGTATCATCAAGCTTCGTGAGAGTGGTGCAGCCCAGTAGAGAGTCGAGCGAGGGACGGCCGGTGCTGCATATCTGCTCAAAGTTATCACCAAGTTCTCTTCTCAAATCATCCTTCTTATGTTCCCTGTAAATTTTATCCCACTTTACCCTCAGTGTTAGGTCAGCTTTATCAAGCTCACCCAAATGCTCATCAGTGAAGGGGAAAAACTCGGAGCCATATTCATCAAACTTCCAACTACCATCCATTACTGACTGTAAAACCAAGCCTTGGGGGTCTACAACAAGAGGTACAGCAGTATCCGATTCCAAGCGGACAGAATCGCATAAACGGTGTCGGGAGGCAACATCCCGAAAGGGGATGGCGAGTGTATCATCCAGGAAACCAGAGAAGAAGTGGTTGAAAACATCCTCCCTGTCCCAATCAAGAAGCATCTTGGCAGCAACGACGATCTCAAAATTAGGACGACGAGTCCCGCAGGAGCGTGCAGCCATGATGGTCCGGCATACGGCAGCACCCTCACAAGAGTAATTAGCATGCAGAGGCACGGAGGCGCAACATATAACAACATATTTGCCTCTGAGAGAATCAACGGGAACGCGATCTCCAAATTTACTAACCAGGTAAGGCCTCCGGCCAGAGTCAGACAGCACATCTATAACATCCAGATGCTTACCCTTGCTAACCTCTATAACTGATACATGAGGAATAGTGTGGGTTCTGAACTCATCCTCCTCATCCTCCACATCCTCCTCACACTCCTCCTCGTAGAGGCACTTTAATGTAGTGGGAGGGGAAGGAAAGAATTTGTGCGCATCCGCAAAACATGACTCCGAAGAATCAGCATCAGCATTCATGTCAGTGTCCTCACACCTACCACTCTTCCTTCTCTGTCCCATGCCCCTAGAACTACACCTTCTCAAGGGCATACTGTTTATTTCAATCGAACAAACAAACAAACAAACAAATAAAAGCCATACCTGTGGGACTAGCATCCAACCCAATATCGTAGTAATTAGAAAGAAGTATAAGCATGTCCAAGATTACCTTAAACCTGTGGGATGAAGAATACTGCTTCTTCTTCTTTTTCTTATTCTCCTCCTCACCATTCGAAACCTGTCCAGTTTGGGGAAAACCATGGCCGCCTTCCATGATCTAACATCCATCCACCAACATACTAGTATTATTTTATAAGTAATTCAAAACTTTAAAAAAAACAAAAACAAACAAACAAAATCAAAGCTCAAGTAGTATACAAAAAGGGAGCAATGTCAGTTTAAGAAAATCCAAGCATACACATAAACAACAACAACAACAACCCAGTTGAATCCCACAACAGTAGGGTCTGGGGAGGGTGTGTGTACGCAGACCTTGCCCCTAAGTAGGGAGGCTGTTTCCAAGCATACACATAAATAAAGAAATAAAATATTATTAGATCAATGACAACAACACACCTTCTTTTCCTTGTCTTTGGAGACTTAGACTTATGGCTGCTGTTGATCCTTGAGCTACACCTCCTCAACATCATCATCTTGCTCAATCAGTCAATCAATCCCACCAACATCCACTATACTTCTATACACTATATGTATATATGCAGACCAAATCAATAAAATCGAGTGGTTGAATGAATTTACACAGACACAAATTAACTCGGTTAGAAACGTGCGGTGAGGATTAGGGGTGTTCATCGGTCCGGGACAGGACCGGACCGAACCAGACCAGACCGAAGACCGAAATGAGAAAAACTAAAGACCGAAGACCGGACTTATAAGAAATCAGTCTTAGACCGGTCCGGACTGAAATTCTTTGGAACGAACCGGTAGGGACCGAAAAGACCGAACTTTTTTTAAGTTCTTAAATATTGTATAAGCAAAATACCACAGTTGACAAAGATGCATGGAATCATAAAACTCGACAAAGATGCATCACAAAAAGTAATTTGCAGCATCCATGACAAATATGCATTACACAAAAAAGTAATTTGCACCAAAAAAATGAAACCACGGAACTTGAAGCAAACAAAAAGTAATCTGATGCATCCATTCACAGAACTTGCAGCAAAAACACCACAAATATAAATGCACCCAGAAAAAAAGTAACTTGCATCCATCCATTCACCAAAAAAAGCAATTTGCAGCATCCATGACAAATTTAGAGAGCCAAGATATGGGGACTTCATTCACCAAGGACTCCATAGTCCAATTTGTAAGTAAAAACAGTGGACCCTCAGTTTGTGTTCAACACAAAGGCTCATCCCATTCCCATCAAACTAAATCCATTCCAAACAAGCATGATTCCATAATTGTGGACATGAACATACTATACTGTAGTTATGAAGCAGGTGATGGAATTGGAAATTTTACCCTTTTGAGAAGCCTCAACACTCCACTCCAGATCTCCAGCAATTTATAACTTCCAAATTTCTCAGCAATTCCCACAATTTAGTTGACAATCGGATAGAAAGAGAAATACAAAACCGTGCGTCCGTGCTATTGTGACAAGGCCGGGAATCTTTAGTCGGAGAAGATGACGGAGAACATAGGGTCGATTTTAGAGGTAGAGGGAGTGGGCGACTTCGATTTCTGAGGGAGAGAAGACGATGATGTGCGAGAAGCAAGAGGTAGGCGGTTTTTGTCTGTCAACCAATATAAGGAAAAAATCCCTTATCTTATCATAGTTCTTTAAAAATTGCATGGTTTACCTCGAACATTAAAAAGTGCACCAAATACTCCTGAATTCTTCAGAAATTGCACGGTTTACCCCTGAACAGTAAAACTTGCACCAAATACCCCTGAACTCTTCAAAAATTGTATTGTTTACTCTTGAACATTTAAATAAAGACGATAATTTTAGGTAAAGGTACTTTGGAAAATTCACAACGATCAGATGATTCATATTCGCAATTTTTGTGCGTGGAAGCAACACACTTCCTATCTAATAGTTTAGGACCAACGATGCAACGTTTTTATTTGTTCAAGGGTATTTGGTGCATTTTTTAGTGTGCAGGGATAAATCGTGCAATTTTCGAAGAGTTCAAGGGTGAATCAGTGCACTTTTTAAGGTTCAGGGGTAAAACATGCAATTTCTAATGCGTACGAGGGTGAACGGTACACTTAACTCTTTTGAATTCTATATGAACTTTGATTATTTGAAGGAGGTGAAATTCGGCAACTTCGATTTTATTAAATCTATGGATTATTTGAATTCTATATGAACTTTGATAGACTTTTATTAAATCTATGGATTATTTAAATCCAAAGTCGCCGAATTTTTACTCCACTTTGGTAGCATTTGTTACTCTTGTGCCGTCTTAACCTTCGGCAAAGTGGCCGTCCAAAATCTTTGTAAAAGTTTGACATGAATGTTTCTATTTATATTTAAAACTCTTTATAAAAGTTTCATGTAAAAAAGACCTGTTAATAATATGTAAATTATTATTTTTTTAGTTTTGGCTTCGAGCTCTATGGGTACCATAACATTTTTTGGCCAAATTTTAATATCATAAAAAAAGTAACAAAATTTGACATGGATATTTCTATTTTCATATAAAATCTTTAGTAAGGGTTTCATGTAAAAAAACTTGCCAATAACGTCTAAATTATTAGAGTATTTTTTTAGTTTCGGCTTCGAACTCTATAGGTACTATCACATGTTTTGGACAAGTTTAAAATTCTTAAAAAAAGTTGCCAAATTTGACATGGATATTTTTATTTTCATGTAAAATCTTTTTTAAAAGTTTTAGGTAAAAAAGAATTCTGAATAATTTCTAAGTTATTATTTGTTTAGTTTTGGCCTGAAGTTCTAGAAGTACCATCATATTTTTTGGCCAAATTTTAAAATCATTAAAAAAGTTGTCAAATTTGACATGGATTTTCTTTTTTCATGTAAAATCCTTAGTAAAAGTCTCATGTAAAAATGTTTGTCAATAACGTCTAAATTATTATTTTTTTAGTTTGGCCTGGAACTCTAGAGATACCATCACATTTTTTGGCCGAATTTTAAATTAATCAAAAAAGTTGACAAATTTGACATTGATGTTTCTATTTGCATGTAAAATCTCTTTTAAAAGTTTCATGTAAAAAAGACTTGTAAATAATGTCTAACTTATTACTTTTTTAGTTTTGGCCTCAAACTTTAGAGTACCATCATATTTTTTGGCCAAATTTTAAATTAATCAAAAAATTTGCAAAATTTGTCATGGACGTTTCTATTTGCATGTAAAATTCTTTATAAAAATTTCATGTCAAAAATACTTGTCAATAATGTCTAAATTATTAATTTTGTAGTTTAGGCCTCGAGCTCTTGACGTACAATCACATTTTTTAGCCAAATTTTAAATTCATCAAAAAAGTTGCCAAATTCGACATAGATATTTCGATTTGCATGTAAAATCCTTTGTAAAAGTTTCATGTCAAAAGACTTGTAAATAATATCAAAATTATTATTTTTTAGTTTTGGCCTCGACTTTCAGGGGTACTATATATCACAATTTTTGGTTAAATTTTAAATTTATCAAAAAAGTTACCAAATTTGACATAGACATTTCTATTTACACGTAAAATATTTTGTAAAATTTTCCTTTCAAAAAAACTTGTTAGTAATGTCTTAATTATTATTATTTTTAGTTTTGGCCTCGAGTTCTTAGAGGTACCATCACATTTTTTGGCCAAATTTTTAATCCATCATAAAAAGTTGTTAAATTTGACAAGGATGTTTCTATTTGCATGTAAAATACTTTGTGAAAGTTTAATGTAAAAAAGACTTGTCAATAATGTTTAAATTCTAATTATTTTTAGTTTTGGCCTTGAGCTTTAGTGGTACCATCACAATTTTTGGCCAAATTTTAAATTCATAAAAAAAGGTGCCAAATTTGACATGGATGTTTCTCTTTGCATATAAAATCCTTTGTAAAAATTTTAATGTCAAAAAGACCTATCAATAATGTCTAAATTATTATTTTTTAGTTTTGGCCTCGAAGGGTACAATCACTTTTGTTTGGCCAAATTTTAAATTCATCAAAAAAGTTGCCTAAATTCGACATGGTTGTTTTTATTTGTATGTTAATTCCTTTGTAAACATTTAATGTCAAAAAGACTTGTCAATAATGTCTTAGTTATTATAGTTTTTGTTTTGGCCTCGAGCTCTTAGGGGTACGATAAGATGTTTTGGCCAAATTTTAAATTCATAAAAAAAGTTACCAAATGTTACATCAATGTTTCCATTTGCATATAAAACCATTTGAAAAAGTTTCATGTCAAAAAGACTTGTCAATATTGTCTTAATTATTAGTGTTTTTTAGTTTCAATCTCGATCTTTGGGGGTACCATCATATTTTTTGGCCAAATTTTTAATTCATCAAAAAGTTATGAAATTTGACATGGATGTTTCTATTTGCATGTATAATCCTTTGTAAAAGTTTAATGTCAAAAAGACTTCTAAATAACGTCTCATTATTATTTTTTAGTTTTGGTCTTTTACTTTAAAGGTACTATCACATTTTTAGCCAAGTTCTAAATACATAAAAAAGTTATAAAATTTGACATGAATGTTTCTATGGTCATGTAAAATACATTGTAAAAGTTTTATGTCAAAAAAACTTGCCAATAATGTCTAAATTATTACTTTTTTAGTTTTGGCCTCGAGTTCTAGGGGTACAATCAAATTTTTTGACCAATTTTTAAATTAATAAAAAATGTTGTCAAATTTGACATAGATGTTTCTATTTGCATGTAAAATTCTTTGTAAAAGTTTCATGTCAATAAGACTTGTCAATAATGTCTAAATTATTATTTTTTTAGTTTTGGCCTCGAGCTCTTGGGAGTAGCATTTTTTGGCCAAATTTTAAATTTATCAAAAAAGTTACGAAATTTGGCATGGATGTTTCTCTTTGATTTAAAATCCTTTGTAAAAGTTTCTTGTCAAAAGGAATTGTCTATAATATCTAAATTCTTTTTTTAGTTATGACCTCAAGCTCTTAGGGGTACAATCATATTTTTTGTCAAATTTTAAATCCATCAAAAAAAGTTGCAAAATTTACATGGATGTTTCTATTTGGCCTCGGTACTATCACTTTTTTTTGGCCAAATTTAAATTCATCAAAAAATTTGTCATATATTTCTATTTTTAGTTTTGCTTCTAGGGGTACCATCATATTTTTTGGTGAAAATTTAGATTCATCAAAAAATTTGTCAAAGTTGACATGGATCTCTACTTGCATGTAAAATCTTTTTTAAAAGCTTAATGTCAAAAAGACATGTTAATAACATGTTAATTATTATTATTTTAGTTCTAGCCTCAAGCTCTTAGGAGTATCATCATATTTTTAGGTCAAATTTTTAACCAATCAAAAAAGTTGCAAAATTTGACATGCATGTTTCTATTTTTAGGTAAAATCCTATGTAAAAGTTTCATTTCAAAAAACTTATCAATAACATATTATTCTTTATTTTTTATGTTTTGGCCTCAAGCGCTTAGGGTACCATCACATTTTTTGAAAAAATTTAAAAATCCTTCAAAAAAGTTGAAAATTTTGATACGGATATTTCTATTTGCATGTAAACTCCTTTGGAAAAGTTTCATATGAGAAAGACTTTTCAATAATGTCTACATTAATATTTTTTTAGTTTTAGCCTCGGGCTCTAGGGGTACCATCACTAGTGTGTACATTGATGCATTTATTTTCTTTCATCTCTTCTTACCTCAAGGTTACCATCACATTTTTTGGCCAAATATTAAGTCCATCAAAAAAGTTGAAAAATTTGACATCAATGTGTCTATTTGCATGTAAAATTCCTTGAAAAGTTTCAAGTGAAAAAACCTATTAATAATGTCTAAATTATAATTTTTTTAGTTTTGGCCTCGAGCTCAAAGGGTACCATAACATTTTTTGGCCAAATTTTAAATTTATCAAAAAAGTTGCCAAATTTGACATGAAGATTTCTATTTGCATGTAAAATCCTTTCTAAAAGTTTGATGTCAAAAGACCTGTCAATAACGTCTTGTCAGTAATGTCTAAATTATAATTTTTTTAGTTTTGACCTCGAGCTCTAGGGGTACCATCACATTTTAAGCCAAATTTTAAATTAATCGAAAATTTGCCAAATTTGACATGGATATTTATAATTGCATGTAAAATCCTTTTTAAAATTTTCATGTCAAAAACACTTGTCAGTAATGTCTAAATTATAATTTTTTTAGTTTTGGGATCGAGCTCTAGAGGTACCATCATATTTTTTAGCCAAATTTTAAATTCATCAAAAAAATTTGCCAAATTTGAAATGGATATTTCTATTTTCATATAAAATCCTTTGTAAAAGTTTAATGTCAAAAAGACTTGTCAGTAATGTATAAATTATAATTTTTTTAGTTTTGGCCTCTAGCTCTAGGGGTAACATCACAATTTTTGGCCAAATTTTAAATTCATGAAAAAATGTGCCAAATCTGTCATGGATATTTATATTTGCGTTTAAAATCCGTTGTAAAAGTTTCATGTCATAAAGACTTGTTAATAATGTCTAAATTATAATTTTTTTATTTTTGGCCTCGAGCTCTAGAGGTACCATCACATTTTTTAGATAAATTTTAAATTCAACAAAAAATTTGCCAAATTTGACATGGATATTTCTATTTGCATAT